AGGATTCAAAGAGAGAGAGAGAGAGAGAGAGAGAGAGAGAGAGAGAGAAGAGAACGAGAACACTTTTCTTCATGTGAAATAAGAAACTACCATGTCTTTCTTATTCCTGCGGAGCTGGTTGGCTTTGTGCCTTCTGTCCATCTTCTTGTGCTCCTTCCTTTGTTTTTTGGTGAGGGCGGTTACAGACACTCTCCCTGAGAGACAGGCAGAAACAGTGATTTATTTTTTAAGTCGTAGCTCAAACCCAGAATTTAAGGCTTGCTAAGAAAATCTGACTGCATTTGGACTGAAATCTAACAAGAATGTTCAACTCTTCACAGAACTAATACAAGTGTTCAAATAAGTGCAAAAATGTATGTCCACTATCTTGCTTTAACGGTGATCATTGGACACCTTCTAAAAGTATGGTGTCATTTAATAGAATCACTTTTGTTCACATGGGATTTGTTACAAAGTGTTGCTGCAAACACAAACCTCACTACTTAGAAACCGCCTGTTACCAAAAATATTTTAATTTGCCTTCTGGTGTCCTGCAGCACCATGTAAACACAGGTGATGATTTGCATGCATCATGAAATCACTGCACTCCCTTCTTAAAAAGTAACACACCTGTAATTCAACCTTTGAATGAATACAAGGTGTGAACACGTCCTAAATGCAACGAAACTACAGGCTGTCAAGGAATCTGGAGTAAATATGGCTTCCTGTTGGCCATTGAAGTTATTATTGATGACTACAATATATTTGCTGTTGTCTCTGTAACATAAAATTGCTTTACTGCGTTGAGCTTTCGTTATAGATTCAAAGATAGTTTCTATTCAATTGATAAATGAGACCATGATTTGCATTATCATTGATATAATGGATTGGAAATGCAGCATATATCTATGATTAATGCTTATTTACGAACCAAAATGTTTCTATTGGTTAAATTTAAACACAGCAACAATGATTTGCACTAGAGGAAGCCTGCCAATTGAAAATGTTACTTTCTAGTGCGCTTCTGTATAACAAAGATAATACAACTGATCAAGCTTTAACTTTTTATGTGTAACTGAGCTATGTTTTTAAGCGCTGTTTCAATTGTTGGCTGACAATAAACTCGATCGGAATATTATGGTATGACAAGTACGTTTTCTATCCTGAGGCGGACCAGACTTATTAGTCAGAGATTTAAATGGTGTTGGAAAACCAGGAGAAGGATCAATCGTTCATTATCAATGTCTTCACAACATGTGTAAGAACACCTCTGCATGCTAACTCCACTCATCATGACCCACAACTAAAGACATACCTTCATTTGCCCGAAAATTCAACACGTGTGTTTGCAGGGCCGTCACCAACACCACAAGCTAACACAACACAGCTAACGTCGACGCTTCATAATTAATACAATTCTTACCTTTGTTTTCCCTCTCAATTTCACCTTTCGTCCGGTGCTTGCCATGTTTGTGGCCTTTGTTTTTCTGTTTAAATATGCCGGGTCTGTGTCCCTGTTGTTTTTCCCCATTCGCAGCCATTTTCACCATGTGGGAAAGTCGGGCGACATACTTCCGCACTCACTATGTGACGTCACCAAAGAGGCGCGTCCTCAAACTTTTCGGAGAGTTTCTTCTTCAAAATAAAAGCCGAGGTAATGCATAATAATAATAATAATAATAATAATAATAATAATAATAATAATAACTTTATTTATATAGCACCTTTTAAAAGCACAGGTTTACAAAGTGCTTTGACAAACAGCAAAAACAAAGCAAACTAAACCAAACACAGAAGAACATTAACAACAGAAAGAATATAACAGATGCAAAATACTAAAAATAATTAAATACAATTCAACAGAAAAGAACCCAAAGGGCACGATACATAACCAGACATATATAACCCGACCATCACAAGAACCATGATAAGAACCCAGGCAGCACAAGAACCCAACAACAAGAGCTGAGACCAAGAGGAACCAAAGATTTAAGATGTAAGAAACTAAAAGATAAAAGCAAATAAAAAGATAACAGCAATAAGAAGGTAAGAGCAGTAAAAGAAATAAAAACAAGTGGTTAAAGGATCAAAAAACCCAAAACTATAATATTAATAAAAATAAAAAGTAGATACAAATATGAAACATAAATAGACAAAGTAAGTAAGATAAGAAATTACCAAGTTAAAACACAAGAGATTAAGATATGAGCATAAATACGAGATAAGACCATAAATAAAAGGACAGTAAGAAGTAGAAGAAGATAAAAATAGTAAAATCAGTAAGAGAGGACATTAAGAAGACGATATGCATAAGGGCATATTAGCCTGTATTGTGCGTTATGCGATGGATTGCAGCATTCATTTGCTCTACTTACAAAATAGAGCCACTGTAAATATTTGTATCTCTACATCAAAAACACATGTACTATTGTTTTGTCAATAAAGACAACTGCATGAAAATGTGAATAAAATAGCATTGCACAAAATATGTACACTTTTAATGTTTTAAACACACAGCAATGTAGCTCTAATTAGACATTTAAGAATAAATGTTATGGCCATTTTACTCTCACACAAACTGAAATAAAACAAAAGTTAGACAAAATAGAACACTCACTTAAACATTAAAGCTATGAAAAACTAAAAATTACTAAATACATGCCTCTCAATGAAAATATATACAGAGTCAATCTAAGCTTTCATCAAATAAAAAGTCATCTTCTTTCCAGTTATTTGGTTTTGGAGTATAGGGATAGGAGGGCAAAGAAAGAGATGTAGGTATAAGGGAATAACATTATGCATTGGCTACCCAAGTGAACGAGCTCTGACACCTAAGAGTTTCTGTTCTATTTATTAAAACAAAGGTTACATTTGTTAATGCTTCAAGTGTAAAAACATGTTCCTGTTGCTTAACATGAATGACCACCATTTAATATAAGCTTCATAACATGTATTTTTCTGTAAAACAATAAATAGGTTGGATTTTTAAACTAGGGGTACACTATTTGGTTTACAGTTAAAGTCTTGTATTGACTGCTTTCAACAATAACATCAAGAAGGGTCCATGTAGCCTCATGGCTCTTCTCTCTTCTGCATCAAGTTGTGCAACACATGCAGCAATTGGTCACATGTGGCACCCACTGAAGAGGAAGCATGTCAGTAACACAGCCTCCTTCACCATGGTCCAAAAGCCCTCTCACAGTCAACTTGAGTAGATTTTTCCATTTGTTGCCTTTGTAAAAGGTCTTATCATGCAGATAGCAACTGTCAGAGAGAGGAAGAGAGTTTGAACATGGATGAGAGGCTATAGGGGTTTCTTTAGCTGTTACATCATGCACAAACCTATCAAATGTAAATAGAGCATTGGTAAACAATAGCTGACTATATTTTGCTGCCTGAGGGGAGAAATGCATACTCTTGGTCTACTGATGAAGGATTCTTAAGGTATGATGTAAGTACCATGCAAGCAGCAACCCCTGGAAATCCAATATTCAAAGAAGTGAGTATTTATGTTTCCCATTACCGTTAACTATACAAAAAATTAAAAAGCAAAATATAATATTTTCCTTTCTTAACATACATTGCTTTAAGCTATGTAATGCGTGTTTAATGTGCCAATTTAACGATAACAAAGCATTAATGTGTGTTTGAATTCCTCAGTAGTAGACCTACAGTGGAAAACCTTGAGATGAGTTCTTCATTTGCACTTTTTTTTAACCAGCCTGCAGAGGAACCCCAGGGGAAAGCATACACTGTTTCAGTGTACTGCTGGATAAGGGACCATTCAAGTATTATCTTGTAAATGTGTCTCAGGGTTTTGAAATTAGTTTTTTAAGGGCAGGGCAGGTTGGTATCAAAATTGTCCCATTTATAACTGTCCACTTATATCTACTCTTTTTATATTTTGTATTTTTAAGTTAAGTTTAAGCTCTAAGTTGTATTTAAAATGACACTTTATAGTTAGGTTAAAATGTTTTGTTTACTTGCACTGTTGTTAATTTACTGCTCTGTGTGCCTTTGAATTGCCCCCCCGGGGACAAATAAAGTTTTTTGAATTGAAATGTACTAACAGACCCCTTTGCTGAGGAAGAGTAGAAAAACTGATGTCTACACAGAATCAATTGCTGCTCATGAGTAAGAATTTCATAATCAAACCAGTATGTCATTCATTATAAACACTTCACAAAAAAATTGTTTTAATTTCTTCCGTTCTATTGTCAACATCATATTTATTCTTTAAAATGAACCAAAATGAAAACTGTTGAAAGTTTGCATATTCCAAAAAAAAAGTATATTCCTTATTTTTATTCATTCAATTCAAAATAAGTTGCCTATGAAAAAACATGATAAGGATAGGATAGGATAGTATTTTATTGATCCCCAGAGGGGAAATTCGGAGCGTTACAGCAGCACTGACAAGAAAGCTCAAAAATACACATTAAACAGAATAGATAAGATACATTTTCTTTTTAATTTAAAAAATAAAAAATGAAAAAAAAATAAATAAATAAAAAATAAATAAATAAAAATAAAAACAGGGGGTATATACAGTACAAAATGAATGATGAAGTTAACTGGGGGGAATAGAGACTTGCGACAGTATTTGCAGAGAATGACAAGATAAAGTGACAAGTGATGATTAAAGTGACTTGGTATGATAAATAGCAGCAAGTAATGTAAGACAGCAGAGAAGAGAGGCAGTGTTGTACCACAGTAATGCAGAGTGCAGTTATATAATATAATGTAGTATAATATAATATAACATAGTGCAATATGAACAATATAGTGTAATATAATTAAATGTTATGTAATATAGACTAGTATGATAACATAATAAAAAATATATAGAATGTACAGTATATATGTATAGATAAGATACTATTCCACAACTTTTGTATGATTTGAGAAGTCTCAATATACTACTGGTCTTTTTTTTTTTTTTTTTTAAATTCTGTCTGTGCCTGTGGATGTTTTTGGGTCAGGGAGAGTTTACTGCAGCTCCAGCAGGCAGGGCGGAACTGCTGTTTGTGTGTCGAAGGAAGACGGACAGTCGGAGAGAGAGAGAGAGAGTCACAAGCCAACGAAAAACCAGCGGAGATTGTTAACATGCCAGTGTATTTTTTTTTTTTTTTTAAGCTTGAATCTCTAGTTTCCCCATCGACGTTGTGGATAATAACACGGCTTGTTTAGCTGGTTGTTAAAAGGAGGTTGTGTTTGAACTTCCCTTCATATTCCTGCCCAACGTATTTCCACGAAGGGAGGCGGCGGTGGAGCGCTCGGCAGCCATCTTTGGAGCTGCCTGGGAGTGGGATACGACTATCTGGCACCCCAGATACTTCGAGGGTGGGGATTTTTTTTTTTTTTTTTTTAACTTATTTCACTGAATCTGTACGTTATTATCGACTGACAACGTTAGGAACTACGAGTATTTAGTGTAGTAAGTGACCGCGCCTGGGATGAAACAGGAAGAATACTCGGTATTATCCCAAAGTGTTTTGAATTACACGACAGAGTGCTGAAACCTGGCCTGTCAAGAGAGGGTGAGTTTCTGCTAACTGAGCTAAGCTAACTTAGCAAACATCACAGAGGTTTAGCCTGCTATTTGCTGCTATATCTGGCCAATCCTTCTTAAAGTGTGTCCTTTCCATTAAGTACATACAGGTGTTCATGTGACAGCTTAATCCACACGCTGTAAATGTCGCGCAGATTGTTTTATTTTATGACACGTAACTTGGGGCTGAGCTAACGTGAAGTTGAGTGTTCAGCTAATTTTTTTTTTTTTTTTTTTTACAGTCAACGCTGGTTAGCTCAAACCTGTGATTTGTTTGCGCTTTGTAGTGTTGTTTGGGTCTTCACTTTCTCAGACCTGCTGTTTATGTGACAGCTGAAGTAGCTTTTGGTGAAGTCATCCCACCAAGTCCTTTCTCTAATCCCAACTTGTGTTGCAACATTACTGAAGCTCAATTAGCCACAGTTCATTTAGGATGTAATCATGTGAAGCTGGGCTGCGAGTTTACTCATCTAAAAAAAAAAAATAATCATTTTGATATTACACGTCAGACTTCGGTTGTGTCATAATGGCTTACACATTTAAAAAAAAAAACATTTACAGAATTTTACTTCCAGGTGATACCCTCATTTCTTCATAGTCAACCACTAAAGCAGGGGTGGGCAACTGGCGGCCCGGGGGCCACATGCGGCCCTCGTCAACCCTCAATGTGGCCCTCAGGTCAATTTTATACACCAAAACATGAAGAAAACATGACAAACTCTGCCATGAAATCATGAAAACCAGAAATATTTCCATAATAATATTTGATCACTGGTATATGTTGAGTTAAATTTAAGGCATAATTGACTGTTATTGTTTTTGTTTACTACAATTTGGCCCTTTGGCAGTGAGAATCAAATGAATGTGGCCCTTGCTGTGACCAAAGTTGCCCATCCCTGCACTAAAGGTATGCAATGTAATGTAGGCCTGTCTTCAGTTGGCTGATCGATAACAGTTTTTTAAAATGTTGTTCTTGGACAGGGATAGTAGTTGATACTGTTATAATGGGATTTTGTTATGATGATTACATTGCTTGACAGATCAAAATTACTACTACATAAAAATGTATACTTATTAATAAAAAGTCAACATTTTCTTATTGATAGGGAAGTTTTAAAATGTGCGTTTCACTGTCTAGAATGCATGTCTGAATACACGCCATCGATGTCAAGACAAGACAGATAATCACCAGTCACCAGGGCCCCTTCCTACCTCCCTATAGCTCTGCGAACAGGAAATGCTGAGAAATGCAGCGCAGTGAGGACATACATCGGGAATTCCAGCCCTCCAGCTTTTGTTGTCCTGTCCTGCTGCATTCTTGTGCATGTGTGAGTCTGTGTTAGTCAGAAGGCAAGGGTGTTTTATGGAGGTATCAGTTATCATCACTCACTTTTGTGATCACGTGTCCTCGGTTGAAAATGCCATCATGAGATATGACAACAAGGCTCATTCATGAGCAACAATGTAGTACGGGACAATGGCAATAAAGAGGCACAGTCCCACATGGTAATGAGGCTTTATTTCAGCGCAGTGGTTGCATCTTTGTGGAAGAGTGAGTTGTTCAGTGTTGTCGTGAGACAAAAGATGTCTGCTTGAACTGGGGGCTGTATCTCCCGGGCTGGGAAAGAAGTCTTGTGACTCTAGCGTCAGCTCTGCATCTGTTTGCAGCTGATCGTCTGAGCAGCATGGACTCAGTAAAATCTCCTTCAGTGATCTTTGACAGTGTACATCTGTCCTACTGCGGAAAGCTGTATAAAACACATTTTAATAGGAAGCAACAAGTTTTTACAGGTCATTGGATTTATGTCTGTCATTTAAAAGGATGAGTTTTCCTCATATTTAGAAAATCAAAGATAATATCACTTGTGGTATCCTGTCATACAGATGTAGGTTTAACATATTGAGCTTCGGAGGTAAGGTTAATCCACACACCCTCCGCGCTGTCAGTATTTTTGAATTACAGAAGGAAACAGTTTTAACTGTTTCAGAAAGGTTGTTGGATTATCCTGGGTGCAGGACATTGTTTTTGGAAAGATACACTATTGATTATCTTGAAAGGTTGGTTTTTTTTTTTCCTGGTGAGGGGGTTAACGAACTCTTCGATTACCGGTACTTGCAGGAAGGTTTTATGGACAATGTTTGGTATGTTTGATATGTGTGTTTACCTAATACAGGTTTAACAAGTAGTCCAATCACTGGAACACTTTGTTACAGTTCAGACAAATGTCTCGGTGAAACAGCGAGTTATTGCTTCTCTTTCTTGTTCGAGCTGGTGATTGTCAGCTGCACAGTTCTTTGTTTCCTCCCAACATCTGTCCGTCCACAATACCAGTCACTGAAGGTGTTAGGGGAGGTTGTCAGTACACAACCCACTGATTTCCTTACCGGGGTTGCTGTTACTATGGAAACAGGAGACTTATGTCTTGTCACTGCAGGTTTTCCTACTGACCATTCTCCACATGTGCACCTTAGATCATGGTTTAGTTCATGGTTTGCATAGCGTACGTTAATGGGCTTTGTTGATGCCGAAGGATGCGTCACCTAACAATTGTTCTTACTGTAACATACAGCGCAATTCATGTTACAGCATAATATTATCATTGTAAAGGAGTCTCATCTCAAATCAATGTTTCTCAGCACAAAGTGTGATATAATTTAAACTGGAGACACATGATTACATTAGGTTGTATCACTCTGCTGCTTGTTTGTTTTTCAGTCAACTCATTCTTGTTGTTCTTTCTACTTTTTAGCTCTGACCACATATGAGACCACTGTCCTGCAGATGAGCCATCGGTGGGGGCTATCCAGTCGCTGTCGCAGACCCAGATAGTCCCGGGCGGCAGCGGCATTGCCCCCTTGCTCCCCATTATGCCCAACAGCAGTCGGGCGGGGAGCCTGAAGGACCCCGAAGTTGCTGATCTGTTCTTCAAGGAGGACCCAGAAAAGCTCTTTGCAGACCTGCGTGAGATCGGACATGGCAGCTTCGGTGCTGTATATTTTGTGAGTATTTCCAAATGTCAGGTTCTGGTCCAAGATCAGGGTCATATTCTGTTAGTACCAAAACCCTATTCATCCTATTTCATATTAGTGAAGCTCGAAGACATTAAGGAAGCATACAGACCTGGTGAAGTTAAAGAGCCGTCAGAGCTGTAAAACTAAACCTAGCTAAGTTTATGAAATTAATTCAAGTACACATTTTTGTAATAGCGCCCTGTTACTGTCTCTGTAAAGTGGATATTATTCACTGAGACTTTGTAGAATACCGTGTTTCTGTCAGTCAGCTTACAGGGTATAAGCTATTTGTTGTTGTTATGTAATGCTACTTCCCCCGAACAGCTACATTGAGTCAACATGTCGCTCCATGTGAATTCTCACAGGGATCATGTAGTTGATTCTCTAATACAGATTATGATGTCATAATGGTTTAGGCTAAAATATCTCTTACAGTGATTTTGAGTTTATTATGCAAAAAGTACAGTCTTAAAGTTTCACAGGAAAGTTATACAGAAAAAACATATAAATTGAGTATTTCAAAAAAACGTGCAGCTTCAGTCACTAAATCACTCAGGGGTTTTTACTGATTTTTAACCAATTAAAAAGCACCAATCAAATTCATCCCAACGTTATGTCCCGCATTCTGTCTTTTGATTGGTTAGATCCCATTTCAGTTGGCAATGCGTCATTACCCAGCAGTTAGACACTCTCGATGTTCAGTTTCACGGGACTTTAAATCAAGTATAGATTATGAAGACAACAATATGTAATGTGCTTACTCTTCAGGCACGGGATGTGCGGACAAATGAGGTGGTGGCCATCAAGAAGATGTCTTATAGCGGAAGCAGTCAACAGAGGTATGTTAGCTTTTACAAATCCCTATCATGTCAGAAGGGAAACTGTTATAATCTGTATTCTTGAATGTTGTATTGCTTGTTGCTTCAGTTCAGATTTTCTTTTTTATTTTTTACTATTCTTACAGAAATGGCAAGACATAATCAAGGAGGTGAAATTCCTGCAGAGAATACAACACCCCAACAGTATAGAGTACAAAGGATGCTACCTGCGAGAGCACACAGCCTGGGTGAGCTTGTACATGAGTGATGATGCTAACAAATGAAATGCACTGATAGAAAAATATCAAGGGGACTAAAGTTAACACACTGCCCTTTTTATTCCACTGCAGCTGGTAATGGAGTATTGTCTGGGATCCGCCTCTGATTTATTAGAAGGTGAGTTAAAAACATTCTTAACTTTCTACAAACTGTGTTTGTGCTTTTGATCTCACAAGACTTTGTGTTTGACCTTTTACCCCTCACCAGATAATGGGAAGTTGGAGAGTTAGCGTTAGTTAGCTCACAACGACAACAATGTCCACACCCCTCACAGATATTTACAGTTCTACACCTCAGAAATCAAGTCATGTGGACTTGATATGAAGGAAGAGAAACTTTCCAAAAGTCTGCCCGTCCGTACCCTTTGTTGACAAGTGATTAAATATAAAGACAGAAAGACAAATCTCACCTTTTGCAATGGCAAAGCGACTCTTGTGGTTAGAATATTAACATTATCAAGCAGTAGCCAAAGCCGATCTGAATAAACACTTTCTCCGGTCACAACTTGCAGAAGTCACATGATCTATAGCCTGTTGTAATGCTTAAGTTTACACACCGACTGTGTAGTTGGGAGTTGTTGTCTCTTGTGACATCGTTATTACATTTTAGTCTAGTGCTGTGTGGGTAACAATGTATTTCCTCCCCTGAACTAACTGTCAAAATGAGAGACACCTGGGCTTCATGTGTGTGAAAAAACCTTCACATAAAAGAACATGTCATGAAATGTGTTTGTACAATAAGCCTATTCTCTTGTCACTAGAAAAAAAATAAGCCAAAGGACATGTTTTTTTAACTGACACATGGCATTTTTCTTTTACTTTGGATTTAATCATCATCTTGTATTGAATCGAATAGTATCAAACCGAATCGCACCGAACCCCTTGTAATTTAATAAATCGCCCCTGAATCAAATCCCAAGAGAATCGAATCGTATCTTGTCAAGAAGTGATGTACTGTGTGAAAGTATTTATCATGCTTGAGTACGAGCAGAGAGGCTAGCCTTCTCGCCACTTTTTGTCTTTTATTTACATCACTGTTGTCAAATGTCTCCGCTCCAGTTCACAAGAAACCCTTGCAAGAGGTTGAAATAGCTGCAATTACCCATGGTGCTCTCCAAGGCTTGGCTTATCTTCACTCCCACAACTTGATTCATAGGTGAGTGTTTGAAGTGTTCAGTAGCTGCTGGTGTTTCTGCTCTTGGGCGTTTTTGTCTTCTTGTGCGGTGTTGTAACAATATCCTCCTCTGGGTTTGACAGGGATATCAAGGCTGGAAACGTCTTGCTGACGGAGCCAGGGCAGGTCAAGCTAGCCGATTTTGGTTCTGCGTCTATCGCCTGTCCTGCCAACTCATTTGTTGGGACTCCATATTGGTAAGATGCAGCAAATGTTAAGCTAACACAGAGTTCTTTGCAAACTTTGGTTGAATTTCTATTTCAATATTGCAATTGTCCTGAATTTGTGTTTCTAGGATGGCCCCAGAAGTAATTTTAGCTATGGATGAGGGTCAGTATGACGGGAAGGTGGACATCTGGTCTTTGGGAATAACCTGCATTGAATTAGGTAAGGTCACATCCATCTGTTTTTAAACGTTTACCAACATCTCAATAGTCTGACTTTATTTAAGCAATGGATAACTGAATAATGTTGTATTTTTCTTTCCTGGTGTGATTTTCCTGCAACATGTGACTCCTCTTACTCAACGTGTAGCTGAGAGGAAACCTCCACTTTTCAACATGAATGCAATGAGTGCCTTATACCATATAGCACAGAATGAAAGCCCCATGCTGCAGTCTAGTGAATGGTGAGTAGCATTTTAATCTTATGAGCCTTTTCAATGTTTCAAAACCTGAACTACTAAAATAATAAATAACAATTTTATCTCCCATTAAAATTTAGGACAGAATATTTCCGAAACTTTGTAGATTCTTGCCTTCAGAAATTCCCCCAGGATAGGCCGAACTCTGAGGAGCTCTTACAGGTGAGAATGACTTTAAAAAGGCAATCAAATACTTGTATAATGCTTTGTGTAATCCCTAAAACTCAAATCAGAATCCAGGGTTTTAATGCAAGAGGTCTCTTCTGTGTTGGTCCTCCAGCATGCGTTTGTCCAACGTGAGCGACCAGAATCGGTTCTAATCGACCTCATAAGTCGGACAAAGGATGCAGTACGGGAACTGGACAATCTGCAGTATCGCAAAATGAAGAAGATCTTGTTTCAGGAAGCCCACAATGGACCCACAACCGAGGCACAAGATGAAGAGGAGGTCTGTTTTGTGACGGCTTTAATTTCTCTATTATTCAATTTCTATCAACTCCAGTTTAGTCAGTATTTTATGTATCATCATCTTATGTTATTAAAGAGGGAGCTGTGGTAATCATGCTGCTTACTGTATGTGTGTTTTTTTTTTTTTTTTTCAGGAGCCCGAGCACAGTGTGAGTAGGACGGGTACAGTGAACAGCGTGGGGAGCAACCAGTCCATACCCAGTATGTCAATCAGTGCCAGTTCGCAGAGCAGTTCGGTCAACAGCTTGACAGATGCCGGAGACGACAAGAGTGAGGTGGACATGGAGGGAGACCACACAGTTATGTCCAACAGCTCCGTCATTCACCTGAAACCAGTAAGAAGCTCAGGTTCCAGTCTTGTATAATTATTGTGTATTAAATACAGTACAAGAAATAATTTGATTGATTGTAGTATCTTGTTATGTTGATTACACATTCTCTGAATCGTTTCTATCTTTCAGGAGGAAGAGGCATACAATGAAGAGTCAGAGTCTAACACCAGGCCAACAGAGCCCCAGTCACAGCCTGCACAAACTCCACGGCCTAAACGGAACCGCGAGCACTTTGCTACTATTCGTACCGCCTCAGTGGTAATTAAACAGATTTTGTATTTACACATCAAATATGAAGATAGCAAAATGACTTCTATCTAACCAAGACAACAGCTCGTGTTGGAATCCTGCTGGATTTTCCACATCTATGGGTCGATTTTGGCTTTGAGGCTAAAAATGTGTAACTTTATAATGTAGTCAAAAGCAGAGCTATGATTCAGATCTTATCTTTAATGTTCTTAGAAATGTCTTTAAAAAAATGAATCCTTAATTTCTGGATTTCTGCCTGACACATTTTCCTGTTCTCTCAAAAACGTTTTCCTTCCATTGCAACAATAAAAAGATCTTTGTCTCGTATCTTTCAGCTCACTCGGCAGATTAAAGAGCACGAGCAGGATTCTGAGTTAAGGGAACAGATATTGGGCTACAAGCGCATGAGGCGGCAGCACCAGAAACAGCTGATGGCTCTGGAAAACAAGCTGAAGGCTGAGATGGATGAGCACAGACTCCGTCTGGACAAGGAGCTAGAGAACCAGAGGAATAGCTTTGCCCAGGAGATGGAGAAACTGATAAAGAAGCATCAGGCGTCCATGGAGAAAGATGTATGCTTACATTTTAAACATTCACATGAGATATCTTGTTGCTTTTTTAAGTGAAGTGCATACTGACTTTGATTAACTTTTTTCTCCATTAGGCAAAAACTTTTAGCAACGATGAAAAGAAGTTCCAACAACATATTCAGAGTCAGCAGAAGAAAGAACTCAACAGCTTCCTGGAATCCCAGAAACGAGAGTACAAACTTCGTAAGGAACAACTCAAAGAGGTAAGAGGGTTCCCCAAAACTTTTCACTTTACTCACTGTATGTGCCATCTGGTCTGTTCAGTTGTTGACCTCTAATTTGTCTTCGGATTCAGGAGTTGAATGAAAACCAGTCGACACCCAAAAAAGAGAAGCAGGAGTGGTTGGCAAAGCAGAAGGAGAACTTCCAACACTTCCAAGCAGAGGAAGAGGCCAATTTACAGCGTAGACAGAGGCAGTATCTGGACCTGGAGTGCCGCAGGTTCAAGCGGCGGATTTTAATCGCTCGCCATAATATTGAGCAGGACTTGGTGCGAGAGGTCAGCTCACTAGTCTTTCTCCTTTACTGTACTGCTGTCTAAAATGTTACAAATAGGAAGAAAAAAGTCTAGAATTGAGTTATTAATTAACTAATTGCCTCACAATCTCATCTCATTTCTTTGTCCCTCCATTTGCACATTCACAGGAGCTAAACAAGCGTCAGACCCAGAAGGATTTGGAACACGCCATGCTTCTCCGGCACCATGAGTCCATGCAGGAGTTGGAGTTCCGCCAGCTCAATACCATCCAAAGGACGAGGGCTGAGCTGACCCGCCTGCAGCACCAGACGGAGCTCACCAACCAGCAGGAGTACAACAAGAGGAGAGAGAGGGAACTGAGGCGCAAGCATGTAATGGAGGTTCGCCAGCAGCCCAAGAGCCTCAAGGTGAGAACTCAGTTTATGTACATGCATGTATACTGAATATTCAGATAATATTCTTATTGCAGTGCTAATGTGTTTTAAGTTTTAAAAAAAAAATGCATCAGACTTAAGACGAGGCAGTTTTTAAACCACCTTCGCTAAATAAACTGTCAAAATATGGAAGAAAAGAAGCTCACGTTTCTCTTCCTGTGAATTTGCTTGGTTACATAATTTCTCTACAACATAGTCCAAAGAGCTACAGATCAAGAAGCAATTCCAGGACACGTGTAAGATCCAGACCCGGCAGTACAAAGCACTGAGAAACCATCTGTTGGAGACCACACCAAAGTCAGAGCACAAGGCAGTCCTTAAACGGCTGAAGCAGGAGCAGCACCGCAAACTGGCCATCCTGGCAGAGCAGTATGACCACTCCATCAACGAGATGCTTTCCACTCAGGCGGTGAGTCTGGCAATGGCAAGAGTGTAGAATCCTGAAGAGTTTAATGTAAGACAACAGTAGTTCCACTAGATTGATATGTTCAAATCAGTTATAGTTGTTGTTTTTCTATCTCCTCAGCTTCGTCTGGATGAGACTCAGGAGTCTCAGTGCCAAGCCTTACGAATGCAGCTACAGCAGGAGCTTGAGCTTCTGAACGCCTACCAGAGCAAGATCAAGATGCAGACGGATGCCCAGCATGAACGCGAGAAGAAGGACCTGGAGCAGAGGGTGTCGATCCGAAGGGCCCTGCTGGAACAAAAGGTCAGCCTTAATATTCTTTTACAGTAGCCTGACTCCATAATCATTTGCACAATTTATAGGGTGCTGTTTAAATGCCTAGATGAATTTCTCAGGTTTCAATTGTTCTGCTTTATTAGGCCTGCTAAATTGTGATTTGTGTTTTCAAAAAATGCACTTTGAGGCAAGAATGAACATTTTTATTTACAAATTCTTCTGTACTTATTTAGATTGAGGAGGAGATGCTCTCGCTGCAGAACGAACGCTTGGAGCGAATCCGGAGCCTGCTGGAGCGTCAAGCCCGAGAAGTGGAGGCTTTTGACTCAGAGAGTATGCGCCTGGGTTTCAGCAACATGGTGCTATCGAATATCTCCTCAGAGGGGCTCAGCAATAGCTTTCCCGGTGCTCCAGGAAACTGGAGTCACCATCAGCAACTACACCCATCAGGGAGCTCTCAAGGGCCACAGTGGGGCAGCGGGGGGTCAGGTGCAAGCCATCAAGGTGGCCATCACCACTATCACTCCAGTCCAGGAGGGGCCGCTATGCAGCAAGGCTGGGGGCAGGGCATGCAGGGAGGTGGGGCTCCATCACCGTGGGGCCACCCATCAGCAGCAGCCCTCGTATCCCGAAGCAGTGCAGGTGCACAGAACAGCCCCCAGGCGATGGGGAGGACACCCTCAGGAGGGCGCAGTGAGCAGAGCATGAGCAGGAGTACCAGTGTCACCTCTCAAATATCCAACGGGTCACATCTTTCCTACACATAGATCTCCTGCTCGCCCTGGAGCTTGAGCGGGGAGATGTAGAATCCAATACAACACAGCAGAACAGAGTGATGGCGCTGGGCTCTGCTGCTTTGTCACTCCCTGCGCCTCAGTTTCTCCCATGTACAGATGTGGATGTGTGATCAAAAATTTTTTGCTCAGGTCAAAAGGGCTGGAAAAGACGCAGCCCGCCCTCACGGCAGTTTATCGGCACACATGCAGATCCTTAAATTCATGTTACATGAGCAATTTGAGTGTCAACATACAATACTCCCATCGATTTTTATTTACAGCGCTCCTATGGAATTTTAAAACCTACATGTTTTGTGCTATTTGCAGCCATTGCTCTCATTTGCACATCAAACACTTGTTAAACAGCCTTTGACATGTGTTCACTATGTCCTTTAAGCAATGTGGTATCAAACAATCACAGGAAAGTGATTTTATTTAGCCCCCCTTCCTTTAACTCAGCTGATTCATCATCAGTTATACACTGGTTGATGGTTTGATTGCAGCAGGCCTATCAAAAGTTGCTTTGCTGTTGTGATACCAGCCTGCTGTAATGGTCATAGTGATAAACTTGACGCCAACTTTTAACCAGCCATTCTATTTCACCTGATTTCCCACCGGACATCAGCCAAAATGAGACATCACAAAATGAATAGCCAAATAAAATCATAAGTGATTCAGGCTTATCCTACAACACTACTACTGTGCCTTTTAACCTTTCATGATAGAAATCTTGCTCAGATGTTATAGTTTAAATTTTAAGATTTTATCAGTTTATAATCAGTGACAGTGCATCTTTGGTCACAGAAAGGTTCAGTCCATTCTGTGCTTGTACTTCCAGAGGACCCAAATACTTCTCTCAAATAGCTCTATTCACTGTTTGCAGTAAGTTTTAGGTCAAGTCTTATACATGTTAAGAAATAGAAAGTTACTTGTATATATGAGTTACTATATTTTTAGGGTCTTCAGAGCGGCGGTACACTAGGGGTGAACCCCTGCGTTACAGAGAATGTAAGTGTACACATTCACAAGGGGCAATATGAGGAGAGACTATTTGCCTTCAAAAACAATCCTAGCATTGATCTGTTGGTTTTTATTAGTGCCTTTTTAAAACTGCTGCCTTTTTAAAAGCACTTTATACAGCTAGATATGTGTCAGTTTTTTCACAGAACTCCTGGTGGATGAGTGTTTTGTCGGTACGCCTGTAGTTAATTTGAGTAGTCAAACTAACTGTGCTGTGATTTATTTAAGGAGCAATTTTCCCCCTCAAGTACAGACAAAGAACCTAGTGCATGTCTACATAAAGAATGTGAGAGGAAGTATTCCGCTGTAAGTGTTACTTCTGAATTGTCACTGAATTGAGGTTGCAAGGGTGCTGAGGTCAAAGAGTTAACTGAGAAGAGAATCCATTATGTGCAGGCAGAAAGGTTAACGTTATCCTCATGACCATGACAGCAGGCTTGGCACTACTAACATACCTACAACACTGTTAAAAACAATTTTGGGGCCCAGTTAACTAACACTACAATAAAAGGGTAAAAAATAAAAGGGTGCTTAGAAATGTTACAACATCTCAACAGAAGCAAAGAATCAGGGTGACTGAAAGTATGCTATTGTAGCATAGGCATGTTCATTTAAAATGTTGTTAACACAAACCCTGAGAACAGCCAAATACAAAATGTAGAAGCATGTAGGTAGTCATTTCATCCTTTAAACAGCACCTCTAGTAATATCTGTTTCTCTTCTCTCTTTTTCTCTGGTTTTATTTTAAATATCATCGGGGAACTCTGTGCCCTTTCAACCGCTTCTCAGTTCAACTTTCCATTTCCCTACAGAAAAAATGTAAACACTTTGTCGAAAAAGGCCTTCATGTAAAATGATCCGGAGAAACTCCCCTGAATCACAAAGCTGGAGTTAAATGTTCATATGTGTATATTTTATTAAAGAAAACATTTAAAGACTAAACTCACTTTTTAAGAAAATAATTTCTAAAAACTAACTTTATTTAACTGACAGACCACACTGATATTAGCCAAACATTTCGCTCTCCAAGTGAAAGCCGCTGAGTTGTCTGGACATAGCTCATTGGAAGATATTCTTGGTTTGTGTGCACAGACAGAATGCCTCATATGCATGGATTTGCTGTCATCTTTTAATGCCACTTATTTATTCAGGCAGCGATCTCATCTCGGCGTCATCACTGCAGAGTTTGTTCTCCCATCGCTGCACCCGTTTGACATTTTGCCTCCCCCGCCCCGCTACTCTGATTCAGAGCCAACTTTTCACATGCTGGCTCTCTCTTGAGTAATACTGTCATACTGTGATATGTTCCTATCACATGTGAGGACACAAGAATGCTGGGGTCTTTTTCTTAACTAGGTGGGATTTGAACTTCCACATGTATGTATCCTACCTAAATTTCTACATTATATCAAGTGACATGGTTCGTTCCCCAAAATCTCTTTAATGCCAAGTGACTTGTTCCTGCGACTGTTACAGAGCAGGTTATAGTCCTCATTTCTTGTCTGATTTGTTATTTGGTAGGAAAATGGGAATGTATTTATAATGATCAGACCTTTAGTCAAAAGCCACAGCCAAGAGTTTGAATGTTAGGCCAATCGAACCTCACGTACATGCCAACCTTTAGTTTGTATGCGCCATTCTTGTTCACTTTAATGTCAGTGTTTTGTGAGTGAGGGAGTCCCGATAATTTTGTCAATCATTGTCAGTCAGGAAACCATTCAACCAACCTGGGTTTGATTTTAATTTTTAATTTTACATTTGTTCAAAATTGTGTTCTTCTGACTGAAAACATGTGAGGAAACTGAAAAGGAATAGGCAACAGAAAAAGGTTCTAAGTTCTATGGTCAAACACTGTGCCATACCCGAGTTGCCAAGCCCAGATACCACTGCATTGTCTCATCTTCATATCTTAGGGGCTGGTGGCATGACATGTAAGACAACTAAAATCAAAGTTGGTTCTGGTCTAGTGTCCAAAGAAAAAAAAAAAGAAAGTCTTGGAAAAGAGGATGGGATGACAGGCAATTAATGAAAAGAGATTGCATTTCTTTGAAGATGTCAGTATTCTTCTTTGGCACATTACCACTACGACTCATAACCTGTATTAAACTGTATAGATGGTGGAAGTTGTTATTGAATGTCAGAGATATTATGAAGATACTACACAAAAGATGGTCAAGTACTAAAAGTGGATTTAAATTGTGTATAAAGACTCATAAAACAGAATAAGAATAGGATCAAATTTATTATTTTGTTTGTATTATATTTACCATTGTGTTGGCAGAGGGACATTGAACAGAAATCAGCTGTAATAAAGTAATTTTAGTATAACTTGTCTCATGTATTTTTTCTATACTTCCTGTTTCATTGAGGTTGCTCACGTGCCATGCATTACAGCACTGGATGCCATAAATGGTATATTATTGATGCTTCTTCCTAAGTAATGGTGTGACAGAAGACCCAAGACAAAGGCATGACAAAATAATTATTGGCCCAATGAAAAGATACTACTGTGGGCCCCATAATAATAATAACCCCTATTCATAACTCTTGTGACCTATGAAAAGCTTCAAAAAACGTTGTTTTAGGTGCACAGATGGCCTAGCAGTTAAGTTGTTCCACATGTATTGAGGCTATAGTTCTCAGAGTGGTCGACCCGGGTTCAAGTCCGGCCTGTGGTTCCTTTCCTGCATGTCGTTCCCCACTCTCTCTCCTGATTTCCTTCTCTACCCACTGAACTATCCAACAAAGAAAATAAATCCTAAATCTTTGTTTTACACCCTGAAAATTGGTTTAATTTTAGATTAAGTGGAGATTGTCACAGCAATACTTAAATAATAACTTTAGTCATGTATAAATGTTATAAAATAAGAGTCGATGAAGTGCTACAAGGCAAATGACAAACTACAGGCGACTAAAGAATCCACACTACATGGCCATACCCAGGACCAAGGGACAAGAAAGAAGAAAGGGTAAAAAAACAATAAAAAGCAGTCAAAATAAATGGAGGAAAAAGTCGAACAAACAATCAATAAAGAATAAAAGTCATAGGCAGAAACTAAAAATATAAAAGTTAGAGATGAGTTAAAGACAATAAGAAGACAACAACACATAACAGTATCATGTCTATGAAAAGGCGTTCTAAGATGTCAGTGATCCTGCATGTGTTATCTTCTCAAACAGATGTTCAATGGGGCCTGGTGGCAAAAGCACAATCTCATTTAGATTAAAGCCTTGACTTTGAAACAACCAGAAGGGCCCCACTAGATAATATATGGCTGAGGGCGACCTCATAGGGGGTCAAACATTCTGCTATGTAACTAGGAGCCAGACCATTACATGTTTTAATATGATGGGAAAAATATATACATGAAATTGGACGGTTACCCTCAATACTTGTTCTGTCTTTTTTACACTAAAAGAGTAGAGTATCATCTCACCTGATTTTAGAAAAACATTGTGTTATTAAGTACTGTCTAAAAAGAAAATACCTGTGGCCCCTTCCTCTAGTCCCCCAGCAACACCACCAGCACCACGACTGGACTGAACCGATCAAACCAGAACGTGGTGACAGAAGAGAAAAGTACAAACAACCTCAAAGACAGAACATGATGTCAGAAATGGAGAGAGCTGGACTCGCAAGGAATGATTGAAAAAGTATTTTGGACTGCGCTGTGGTGAAAGAGGGAGAGGCCCGAAGATGCCTATTTAATTATCTGAACGCGGTCTGCTGAAGAGGATTAAGAATGCAAAGAGTACTTAAATCCAGCAGATGGCAGTGATGGACTTCTTTGATATCCAGCTGCCACTAAAACCAAAAGAAGAAGAAGAAAGAAGCACAAGCAACGCGAGATGTGACGTGCATTTGTAAACAAAGGTTAGCTGGTCAGCCTGGGCAAAGGAATGCTGTCTTAACGAAATTAGGTAAGTGAACAGTCTAACAATTAAGTATTAATACTTATTTACGATTTTTGTTGTTGTTGTTGTAATCCAAAGTATCGTCCGCTATGGTGCGTACTTATTGTGCACATTGTTTCCCACATAAAATGCTACCTTTCATTAATTAAGAACATTTGTGACACAGTTGATGCATTTTATTTTCGCCAGATATTGTAAAGTGAAAAATGCAAAGCAGTATCTTCTCTATCATATTCTCCATGCTACTTGGAAAAGGAAACATTGCATTGTAAAACCTAATCCCACTTTGTGTCTGGTGACCTTACACTCCTCCAGGATGTTGTGTGAAGTCCTGCTGTCATCACTATGGTTCCTGTTTGTCATCTTCTGGGTGGAGACAATAAGTGTTTGGCTGTTTCTGTCCATGTTTTACCAGGACAGGGCATTTTACCACTGGGGAGACGGGTAAGAAGTTTCCACTGTGAATCTTAAATTTAAAAGAGTGCCTAAAATGTTCTCTGACTATTCTAAAGACACAATATGAAGTAATTCCCAGCTACTTTGTGGTTTTCTTCTCGCTGTGGTTTTATTAGACTTCTTGTGCTTACATTGTGTCTCGCTTTATTAAATTCAGTGTCACACATTAACTGAACAATTTGACAGCTTTGTGATGCTGGTTATCCAGGATATGTTGGATTGTGACTGCTAGGCTCAAAGCCAGGGATAACCCAAAAGGAGACAGAATGAGTCAAAGATCTACAGTATGAATGACATGCGTTTTAAGTTAAAACTATAACCCTTTCCACAGTGTCGTCATGAATTGCATTACAGCGTTGTGAAAGCTCAAGAGGCTGAGGCACAACGTGTGAACACGCGGCGAGAGTTTAAACACCCACACAGCGCTGTTCATCCCGCAAGCTGTGACGTTGCACATTGCCACCGTCTCGCCCCTGTTAGGTCTCTGTTACTACACATTGCAGATGAGGTGTTAACAGGGGAATTATTATCCATCCTTCAGTTAGCAATATGTACAAGGCAAATGTCTGTTTAGTTTTTTCAAAGAACCCAAACTTAGACACTCTGGGCATCATGCCCTTTCTGAATCATTAGATTGAAAAACACTCAAAGCTTAATGGTTCATGTACAATACGGAAGTAGTGTTATCAGTACTTGTTTCACAGGTTAGTGAATATTACATTTTTAACCGTATCACTCTTTCGATGTTACAGGGTATTTTCAGATGATCCTGGGCAGATGATTTACATGTTAAGCAGGCAAGACCATGATTAAATGAATTCAATCACTTTAAATACAAACTGTGTGTTGGTGTGGAAAGTTGTAACATTTCTCTTTCCACAGAGTCGATTCACAAATGCAGACAGAGGTGGAGACCTGAGATGGAGAGAGATTTATAGCCGGGCTGAATGGACTCTCAAATGGACGGCTGTTGCAGTAATGTGACTGAAGACCATAATGAAAAAGCAGTAGCTGTTTCCACCCTGCACTAACTGACTAGCACATGGTTGTGCTTTGTCCTTGTTATCTTGTGTAAAAGTAGACCCACTTGTAATTATAGGCAGTGGAGAGTTGCTGCATGTATGAAGACTGAGCTAAGAGGTAGAGCCTCCGTATTTAATGTGTGTGACAGCCACCACAGTGTCATTTAAGCAAAGCCAGTACCATTTAAAAAGCACGGCTTAGAAAAGATGAGCTTAGTGCTTCATTGTGTCTTTAAACTCTAGTCTAGATTTTCACAGAGTTGGCGTTTTGGTCATACTGCCGTTCTATGCAACTACAGCTGCTTCTGTCTGCAGCTACATATTGTGTCAGATATCAGATTGAAGGAAATCTGTTGGATGGTTGGCGTATGAATGTTTTTAAAGATGAAAGGAAGTTTTGTTGTATGTTTGATTGAACAACCATTAACAGTGAGCTAAATATTGAATATTTGAGGTGTTGGAGACATGTACTTTGGTTTTGATATATATTTTTTTTTAACAAAGCAGCTTGATGATTATGAATTCATGCTCTTCTTCTGGAGTCCAAACCCTCACCTAACGTAGACAAGCTGATCACATGTACAACACCAGTAAAGCATTAAAGCTCATTGACATACTAATACTTCCTTTTCTTTGTCATGGATTTCATATATATATATGGTTTCCTTTGCGGGCTGATGGATTCTGCCAGAGATGTAGTTTTTGTACTTATGATGATCCACACTAAGATGGCATGATAACTAAAACGTCATCATGGCAAATGCAAAAGCGCCATCTACTGACGAAAATGTAGGAAGGCCTGGAAGTGGACCTGACAGTGAAAGAAGAAATTTAGGAGACGTGATAATATGTCTGAAGACATAAAAAAAAAAAAAAACAAGTCAATCCGCTCTCTTAACAATATATTGAATTTATATCCAGTAAATGACATGAAAGTAAAACTACACTGTAAAATAGGAACTATATTATGTTCAAGCCTTTGACATTATTGATTTGGCAGATATTTTTGTATTGTTCTCTGTCTATTAAAGGATTTCCTTTTGAAGCAAACGACCGTATTTTTGGTCCCCCTTTTTTTTTTTTTTGTGCAGCTGAGGCAAAAGAAGTGAAATAAATGTTGTATTAACATGCTGCAATGTAGACTTCACATGCCAGGACGCTAGGGGGCGCACACCATGCAGCAAAGCCTCACCATATATGAATCTCTAAAACACTACCGGTGTCCTCCTGTCCTACCGGGTTAAAACAAACCAAAAAAAAAAAAAAATGCAGTTAACGTTATAAATAAGACTTGATAGGTGTTCGTTGTTTAACCAGGGGGAAGTGTTTTGTTTGTAAACCGACGTATCTGCGTTGGATATTTGTACAAAGATTGAACTTTGTTGTGAGCGGTGTGTAATAACAACATGGCTCCAACGATTCAGACTCAAGCTCAGCGAGAAGACGGACACAGGTAAGTTCAAAAATGCTTTAACGAGTCCAACAGCCTGATGTGTGTTCACTTTCACTCACCTCCACGTTAAGTGTTAGCGTATATTTACATTATTACTCAGTCTCAATCACCCTTTTGAATAAAGAAATAGTTCCTGTTCGTGCCAAGTAGACGCCAAATCGTGTGGCTAACAGTGATGCAGAAAACAACAGCCTGTCTGAACGCATTCATGTAGCAGAGCTTTTTCGAGGAGAGTTCACTTTTGATTTTTCAGTCGACAGCTTGACTTTCTCATTTGTGGCAATATGTTCCCCCTCTTTACGATAGTTTCAAAAACATAAAATCCTATGTAAAATATGTCAAAGACTAGTTGAGGTCTGCATTCAGCACAGTAAACTACAGGTTCTGTCTATAATAGGACAGGTGTTACATCACCCTCTGTTTTTTTTTTTTTTTTTTTTTTACACAATCAGAATAAAGATGTGGTATACAAATAGTGTAATTCTTTTAGTGATCCTCAGTTTGAGTTATTATAAAAAAACATCCTTCGGTGTTATTAAGCTCAACAGAAGAGATGCTCATAGATGTCTTTTTTTCCCCCCTTCCAGTCGTCAGTCCTCACACAGAACTGTTCCAGAAAGGTAAGATTCAGCACTGTTTCGACTGTTTTTTACTATTACTGTGTTAACCGGTTTGTGCCCTTTTTAAAACCTTGAACATGCGTTTCCTCTTATTTTTCGGACAGGTCAGGAGTGGTCTGCAGGGTGAAGTACTGCAACAGCCTGCCTGACATCCCCTTCGACCCCAAATTCATCACATATCCGTTCGACCAGCACAGGTAAACATCCAATCTCTGTCCACAGAACACGCACTGACAAACGCAAGACACAGCTTTTACGTTAGTTTTCTTGTGTGGCAGGTTTGTACAGTATAAAGCCACTTCTCTTGAGAAGCAGCACAAGCATGAGCTCCTGACTGAACCAGACCTCGGGGTGACCATTGATCTCATCAACCCAGACACATATCGCATTGACCCTAACAGTAAGTATTTAGTTGTTACATGTTACTTACTAGTGTTTATTTATTAAGATGCTTGCATGTGTGATCAAATCTCTTGAGTACACTGAACCAATCTTTTCAATCGTCAGTTCTGTTGGATCCTGCTGATGAAAAGCTGTTGGAAGAGGACATCCAGGCTCCATCCAGTTCAAAGAGGTACGCCTACTCGATAGAGAGCCTTCATTTGTTTTAGATTTATCTGGAGAGTGTTAGTTTTAACATTCCTTTTTTTCCGTTTAAGGTCACAGCAGCATGCCAAAGTTGTCCCGTGGATGAGAAAGACAGAATATATTTCCACAGAGTTTAACAGATATGGCGTTTCCAACGAGAAAGTGGAGGTCAAGTAAGTATGCAAAAGTTGTTGGCATTGAAATGACCTAATAGAAGAGAAGCTTATGATTGCATGTGGGTGAAGAACAGGGACGCATTTAGAGTTAAGGTAAATTGTTTGTTTGTTTTTGTATTTGTATGAATAACCTCGAGTGTGTTTGTGTTCAGGATCGGTGTATCTGTCAAACAACAGTTTACTGAAGAAGAAATCTACAAGGACAGAGACAGCCAGATTTCTGCGATTGAGAAGACATTCGAGGATGCACAGAAATCGGTGGGTGAAGAATAAAACCCAACGCTTGTTGCGACTGCAGTATTTGGTAGACATTAGACTTTGCAGCTCCAGTTTTTTGGTGAATGGGGCAAAATAACTGTGAACACTGGGGTTAAATAAAACCTCCTGTCTTGCTGTAACTGCTCTTTGCAGTAGAGGACTGTTATAGTCAGCTGTGAGATGAATGTCTTTTTGTCCTCCAGATTGCACAGCACTACAGTAAACCAAGAGTTACCCCAGTGGAGGTGCTTCCTGTGTTCCCTGACTTCAAGGTGAGTTGTAACTTCACATGGTTTACCTATTTTTATAGTCGGACTCATTGTGGTCTGAAATGTACAGGGAGGGGAAACGATGACAATAAAATAAAGCATAATTATATGCAACAGCAAAACAGTCTGTTCAAAGCTGTTCTTGTCCCTTTAACTGGATAAAAACAGGCACTCCATGGATTCAGATATTCAATTATTAGAGGCTTGATATTGAATACTCTTTCTCTTTCCCCAGATGTGGATCAACCCATGCGCTCAGGTCATCTTTGATTCCGATCCTGCACCAAAGGACCAGTCAGCACCAGCAGGAGTGGAAATGATGTCTCAGGCCATGATCAGGTATTTTCAAAATAAACGTGGTGGAGAGTTTGTGTTTCAAAAGTAACGTTTAGCATGAATGCTGATTGTCAGTATGTTTGCTGTCCCTCAATACAGAGGTATGATGGATGAGGAAGGAAATCAGTTTGTGGCCTACTTCCTGCCAAATGAAGACACCATTCGCAAGCGCAAGAGGGACTGTGATGAGGGGATGGACTACATGCCTGAAGATCTGTAAGTGATACATTTATATTGAAGAAAACCTGCCCTTTTTTTGTCTTGTTTTTAGGAATGAAGTTGTTTATTTGCTTTTCCTATTTCAAATTATGTACCAAGAAGTAAATATTGTTTTTTTTCCCCGCCCTGTGTTTCAGGTATGATTACAAGATAGCCAGGGAGTACAACTGGAACGTCAAAAACAAAGCCAGCAAGGGTTACGAAGAGAACTACTTCTTCATCTTCAGAGACGGAGATGGCGTTTACTACAATGAGCTCGAGACGAGGTACGTTGTTGTTAAGAAAGGAGGCTTGTGTGTTTTGATTTATCTGAAGTGTAGATCTGTAAAAAATTGCATAAATATGTTATTCACCGAACTAACTGCAGTGCCACCCTGATATGTAGGACTTAAATCAGAGGTCTGTTAGGCTTCTTACTCTTACAAGCTTTTGTTTTGTCCTTTTTTTTAAGAGTGCGTCTGAGCAAGAGGAGAGCCAAAGCTGGAGCACAGTCCACCACAAACGCAGTGTTGGTGTGTAAGCACAGAGATATGAATGAGAAAGAACTTGAAGCCCAGGTGAGTGAACGGTTTCCTTCCACTTTTTTATATGTTTACTGTAGTGTTGCTGTCGAGACAGCCGAGCACAAGACCGATTTGGAGTGCTACAACACTAGTTTACGGAACCCTTTATTTGTTTGTTTGTTTGACTTCTGGACGGTACTGTTGCTTTAAAGGAGAAGGAAACACTAAATTATTCACTGAGTTACAGTTTTTTATGTAACTGAAGGGTACTGTTTTGTTTTTATTTTCAAGACGGGGTGTTATTTCAGAACCTACACATAGCATTGATTTCCAACTTGACCTTACTAATGCAAACTAATGACTTGAACACTTATACTGTTATCTGTTGGCTTAGATAAAGAAGTCATTTACAGATGATTAATCACCAATCAATTTAAATGTGTTTTTCAGGATGCGCGTAAAGCTCAGTTGGAGAATCATGAGCCTGAAGATGAAGAGGAAGACATGGACAAGGACATGCAAGATTCCGGTCAGTTATTGTTTGTCTCTACCACTGCAATTGCAATGAAATACTTTTTGCTGTTGTCCGCACTAAAGTTACAACTTAATCGTTAACCGTCTGTACTGACTAAAGCATTGAATCTTTTCCTTTCCGTTTCTTTTGTATTGTTTTCTTCAGGTGACGACAAAGACAAAGGCAGCGGCAGCGAGGCTGAGAACTCTGGCAGCGAATCGGAGAGGGAAGATGAAGAACAGGAGCAAAGGGGAGAAGAGGAGGAGGACGAGGAGGCCAAGCGGAAGAGGAAGGAGAGCGTCAGCGGAAGCGAGAGCGGCGGAGAGAGAACCCGAGAAATGCGAGACGAGGAAGAGATCTTCGGAAGCGACGACGACAGCGACGACAACGAGCCCAAGAACTCAGCGAGGAGCAGTGGGGGGGAGGGCAGCGGGAGCGAGGACGAAGGAGGAAACAGAGGAGGCAGCAGGAGTCGCAGCGCATCTCCGGCGCGGAGCGACCGCAGCAGCGACCGCTCGGAGAGGAATCAGAGTGGGAGTGGTAGCGACAGAGGCTCAGATTCCAGTGATGCTAGTGACAGTGAATAAGGTCAGGGATCTGGACGAGGTGATGACCACCTGTCTCATGTGTACGTATGGCTCTACGCTGAACGTGATATTATCCAAGTCTTGGACTGTAGTTTTTTGACGACGCAAATGAAATCAGATATGTTGTTAATGCGTGATGAGCCCTTCAACACAGTTTTTTATTTGTAGACTTCACTTGCCCACAGGTAGCTATGTGTACGCCATTCCTGTGTTTTTTGTCTATCACATATTCAGTACAAGATCATGTAAAAATGTCTTTGTTCTCCCAGTTTTTGACGTGTCATGGTAACACGGCATTGACCTGTTAATAAAAAGGTGACATTTTGTAAGAAACTCATTTGTCAAAGGCTTTTTTATTTTCTTTTATTTGTAATGAAGTTAAGAACCACAAAGTAAAAGCATCAATGTAACATCTAATTTTACAATCACCTTGAGATGTGCTGGACTGTCTGATCTCTATTCTAATACTACTTGCAGTTAATTACTATTCAATGCAACAACAAAAAAAGACAAAAAACTATTTTTACAGAGTTTATCACAGGATGTTATTTAATAGCCAGGCTATACAAAGGGAAAGACTGAAAGTAATGGAGATCTCTCAGATTGAGATTCAGCGAAAAAATGCCAGCTGATTCTTGAGCCACTCCTCTGACAACTCATCAGCACTTCTCGTTTCAAAGACCTTTAGGGTGAAACAAGGTGACAAAATCAGAATCTAAACAACACGACATCTCAAGCTTAGAGATAATCACTCCTTAATTTCTAATCTGGTGGGAATCAGGAGGAATCACAACAATAGACACATTTAAATGTATGAAGAACCTGCTTAACAGGTTGTCAGTTAATTTGAGAAATATGGTAAGTAGGATTTTCTCTACTACATAATTGTCAAGTTTCAGTCTTATGATTGATGGATGAATATTTCATAGATTCAAATAGTTGTTACATGTATCATTGAAGGCATGTCTCCAAACAAGAAGAATATCAATATCTTAAGGGGGAAACATTGGACATTCTTTACATGATTCCTCGTCATTGCACAGGAGTTAAGATGAACTGGTTTATTTTTTTGAGGTTAAAATTTTGAAGTTTTTACCTTGGTGAGCTGTGCAGCTTGGACCAGCTGATTCTTGCTGCCTGCATACATCATCTGCTGCTCTGGCTTACATCCTGTTTAATCACATTTTCTCAAGTTATTCTTCAATTTGGCAATCAAACACACCTTAACAATTCCACTAAGGACCACATAGTTGATCATCATAAGAATGATTTTATATCAATACAATGACATAATGAGATAGATGATGACTGTTGTGTTTGATCTGTATCTACTTACCCATTGGACTGGAGTATATGAAACAAAGAGGGTAAGACACTCTGCCATCTGCATGGACATATTTGTAGCTGTAGACCATAAATGTGCTCTACTGTCAAGGAAGGTCAACTTTTTCAAGAGTGAAAGCCATTTCTCGTGGCATCTTTGCACAACATCGGAGGATAAGTTTGTCAATATACATTTAGTGAATTTGCAGCTCTTGTTACATTGATAAAGACATTCAGTCAGGATATCTGGGTTGCCGCTCTGGAAGTTCATCTCTCAACTCATCCAGTGAGATGTCCTAAAAGACAGAGTTATGTTTCAGTGGCTTGTAATGCGAATTAATCTAAACACATGAAGGAAGGTAACATTCGACTTGCCTCATACTCCTCCTCGAGGATAACAAGCTGTTTCACCATGTCTATTTTCACTATGAAAGACAAAATGTGAAGGATTTTCTTCTGAGCTACATTCTTTGATATGCTGGATATGAATGTGTCTTTTATAAAGTTACAAATGTGTCACTTTGACTTAAAGCTATGTGATACTTACTTAGTATGGCAGCATTGTTCGTCTCTTTTCGGAATCTGAACTTTTCCAGTTTCTTTTTCAGACTTTCATCCACCTCACATACGACCAGAGAGCTCGACTGCAAAATGGCATTTATTAAAAAAAAAAAAACTAAGAAGGAAAAATCACTCAAATTGTGTCACTTTAAGACATGTGAATAACATATCCTGATATATCTTTGCTTCTGATAAAGCCAATAGAAATGGTCGACAGAACAGAAATAGAAACAAAGGGGGTAGAGGGGGTAGTAGACGTCTGCTCATTCTCTTTAGATGTTGAGGTCTCTATCCAGCTTGCATGGATGCATTAAACATTCATGACACTATTCTGACATATTGAGGGCAGGAAATGTTTTTGCCGCAACATGCAAGAATGTAGTTTCCTGTCTGGTAGAGCACGGGGGATGGTAGACTTATGTCACAATTCTAAGTAAGCAATTTATACACACAATATATACCTTTGAATGACAGTCCATCAAATCCAGAACATTTCATCAAAAAAAGCAAAATATTTCAAGCAATTGCATCAGCTGTACCTACCATTCTTCTTGTTTTCAGGGTGACGCTGTTTGGCTGAAACAGTTTGGCTGACAGTTACTCTCGGATTGTCAAGATCCTCCTTTAGATGTTAAGGGGAGGGCAGTCACAGAACTAGTGCATGCATCATTGCCTCTTCCTGTTTTAAAAAAACACAAGATGCCTCTAGTGAGCACGCCCAGTTGAGTGTTGCGTGAAACATTCTGGCCATCAAGGGAAAACAAATATGCAAAATAAATCTGTGAATACAAGCTTTTTGGCCATATGCTATAACTAGCTTTATGTTACCATAAGCTGACAATCACCATGACTAAAATGATGAGAGGTACTTTTACTTCCCCTTAATTAACAGGAAAGCGCATCAAATAGAAACTTGCAGAGTAACAAATCCACAAATGAAAAAAAATAACTCTATATCACATCTACATGCAAATGTACAATGTGCCTTTGATTTTACCTGTAAATGAAAGTACAAAAGATAAATGCAGAATAGTGTACAGGCTAAACTTGCACCAAAATAAAAATAAAAAAGGCTTTTGTCGCAGTATGACAAGTCATATTACAAATTTCTATTGTGGCAGGAACAACCCTATGGATCTCGTACCGCTTTGTTATAGATCAATTCTTTACATGCTAAACTTAACATGTCACCTATAAGTCACATTCCACACACTTCTTTACTGAAACTGGAGGGGCAGGTTGTTCTCTTGGTGAATACCTTACATCACATAAGGAAAACACCCAAAATGTGATTATTGTCGACAGACATGCTTTTCATGCATCAAGACCAACCTAAAGCAGTGTTCAATCTAATCTGGACACCCTGATAACTTAAAATCTGTTGGCTACTTATTATAGAAGATTCAAGATTGTGTTTATTTGTCAGTTTTTCCATGTATCTGAATACATAAAATTGTATTTATTTATTTTCAAGGCAGTTTCCCCAGCCCCAAGCAGTATGACTGAAAAAAACATAAAGACACATAAAAATCTAGTAAGGAATAAAATCAGTTCTAAAAGTAGAGTAAACAACTACAATAAAAAATGCAGTAAGTAAAACAGGTAGCACAGTCATTCAGTTTGTGTCTAAAGTGTAGTGAATTTAAATGGCAAGTGCAGCTCAGGTCCACTGTGGACCTCTGTATATTATTTTCCTACAGTTGTGTCATTCAATGATAACGTACATGTGGAAACAGATAAGATAAGATAAGATAAGATAAGATAAGATAAGATAAGATAAGATAAGATATACTTTATTCATCCCAACAGGGAAATTTAGCTGTTCCAGCAGCCAGCATACATAAAAACACACAACACAACACATATATACATACATATCCCACCCATACAAAAAAAAAACATGAGCTCACAATACAGTTTGATATATGATATACGCAACTCAGGCTAAAGTTTAAAAGTTTAAATGTCTTCTGTCCTTACTGAAAGGGGAGTCGTATAAAGTGCAATTGCAGTAACAACATTATTACACCTTTAGGGAATTGCAGCCATTACAATAGAGGAGTATTTCAGGGCGACGAGAATAAAAACCCTCCTGAACTAAACAAACGGTGGGTGGAACAAAAACTCTACGTGCCGTCCATGCGTATGACGTAGTACCCACGTCTTACGTCAACTCAAAATCGAAGTAGATTTCTCCAGGCGTACTCTCTTCATTTTCTGCACTGCAATAAACATTTTGTACATACATTCTTTAACATAGTTTGGGGGGGCGGGGCTTGTCGCCGCACAGGAATACAATTAAGGACACCTCGTATGGGATCGAAATCTACCTTCTATCAGCGAAGCTTTCGTTATTGCATCTATTAGCAAAAAAAAAAACTTGCTAGCTAAGAAGCTAGCGCTAGCACTTAGCTATCCCTACCCTACCGTCGAGCTAGCTATGCAGTAGCACTTTAGCCTAACCCGCTGCCCAGTGACAACTGACAAAGGTAAACAACAAACCTTTTGGCTTTTTTTTTTTAATTGTTCAGCGCAACTCACTTAACTTCATCTGGACAACTAGCGACAGACTGTGTGTATTTCTCCAAACTGCTTTTTAACCTCCCTGTTAGCAACGCAAAGATTGAAGTACGAAAGAGGAAAAAAATGGGCAGCAACAGCGTCAACGAGAAAAACAATACAAATCCTGAATCCCCCCTTTTCACCGGCTAGCGTTAGGCCGAGTGAGCTGTTGTTTGTTGGGGTTAATTTAAGCTTTACTCAGCATTGAACAAGTCTAACGCCTTGTAAGACAGTCGTGTTGAAATTGATTCACTGTTTCGTAGCATTTTACACCAAAAGTGGCGACATCTGTTGGACAAACCCTTGATACCGTCTCTGTGTAGATGGATTAAATCTTAAGACTTATGATGAAACAGTCATAAGACAAGTGGGTTATCTGCTTTCGTTGTAGCTCAGTGTGTACAACGAATCGTGTTTAAAACCATAATAACTTTTAAGCTGAGTGTAACAACACGTCTATACTGTGAGATCTCTCTCTCCATCTCTAACGAGGCCTCGATGAATGTGGATGAAAGTGATTTTTTTTTTTTGCTTGTTAAATCGAGGTGTTTAGCATCTTAATGCGTTTGTTTGGTTTTGAATACGCCACACACTGCTTGGAGACTGTCACAGTGTCCAGCTACAGTAATCATTTGTGTAGCATGAGGTTGAGTCAACTAAATAGTCATAACAGACCATTGAACAGACACTCATTTAATAATCCTATAGAACAAACTGTAACAGGTGGATGTGTTGGTAGTGCACAGGTTTGTCATGTCACATTACTCTTGTTGCTTCGTGGCTTTGTTTGTGTTTTTACATTATCTAGTGGTTTAGTGCATTATTAATAGCTGCTGTAAATACAGGACATTGTTTTCATGTGAGCTTTATTTCAGTGTAAAACATTGGTTCCAGCGTACCTGAGCTCATACCCTTTGTTTAATGTTTTTTGGCAAACCTTTAGTGAGTGACTTGCACTATTTCTAATTATGATATGAATGTAGTCGTGCAAGCAGGATTGACTTGACTCCCTATGAAGGAAGACTGACCTTAAATAACACCCCTACAGTTTCAGTTATGACTTTGATTTTTATGATCGTATAGATGATTTGTTTGGGTTTATCTCTTTTTGTCCTAAAATACAAGTATATAGTCAATTGTTTAAAATTTGAAAGGAACTAAAACTTAACAGTTTGTATCCTAATACCGTAATATTGCTTATCATAAAAGTGATTGATTTTTATTGTCGGTGTATGATTATCTGATATTTTTCTTTCCGTCTACTCTGTTTTTTGTTATTAGGTTGTGGATGATGTTTTACCTGAACATGCCGGAGTGAAAAAACAAATTTCTTGCTTGAGTCATTACTACATACAGTTGACACAATCTCTCAGCATCACTTCACGAGATATCTTCCTGACAGTCCAAGCAGTACGTCTGTCTGCAGTTCCTCTTGGAGCTGAACCATGTGAGGGCCCCTCGGTCCAGTCTGAGGGGATCCCAGGACTGTTGCAAATACGACCCCGCTGTGCGGGGTTGGACTGATCCTGTCTGTGTCTGAGAGAGCAGTTGTTACAGTACAACCTTCTTGTCCTATCATTCCTGGTCTCCTTAGCCAGGAGACACGCCATGATGTTCCGAGACCAGGTAGGTATCCTGACAGATTGGTTCAAGGGCTGGAATGAGTGTGAACAGACGGTGGCACTGTTGTCCCTCCTGAAGAGGGCTTCCCGCACCCAGGCTCGCTTCTTACACATCTGCCTTGAGCACTGGCTGGCAGACTGCACAGAAATCCACATCCTGGAAGCTGAGGCCAACAATGCAGGTAGGCGTAAATGACATGTAATTAAATATCTGATTATTCAACACTGCTATTTTGACATTCCTTTTAGTATAAAAGAGAAAGTCTATTAAATAAGAAAAATAACAATTTGGTAAATATTATTTTCTTTTGTAAACCTGTCTGCTTTAGCAATTGTCAGCCAGTGGCATCAGGAGCCAAAGGAGAAGGTTGTGTCCTTGCTGCTGTCCCATCTGCCTCTGCTGCAGCCACGCAACAGCGAGGCCAAATGTGAGTACATGAAGCTGCTGCAGAAGGTGTTGAGTCACACTATTGAGAGTAGCCTGTTTGTGGAAGAAAGCAGGCAGCTGCTGTCCTATGCGCTCATCCACCCTGCCACCACACTGGATGACCGCACCTCTCTGGCCATGTGGCTGAACCACCTGGAGGAGCACCTATCTAGTGGCTATGCACCGCGGGCCCCATCTAGCCCCTATCACCCACGCCAGGGCTCAGATGAATGGCCAAGCTCTGCTGAAGGTCTGGATCCTGGCCACGCCTGGCATGAAAAGTCCCCTTCATCCAGCACGTCTCCAGCCGGCCAGAACGGACACATGTCCTTCCCAGTCGGGATGTCCTCTCCCATCAACAGCAATAACACAGGTGATGTTTAGCATTATCATTAGGAGGAAAGGGGTGTATTTGGCCACTGTGGCTATATTCCTCACACTGTACAACTGGTTTGCATTTCCAGAGGCCTTTTTAACATTATCTTCTTCTTTTATAGGATGAGTAATATAATTTTCTGTTCCTCATAAATCTGTTGTTTCCTACTCCAGGTCTGGGTGGGCAGCTGCAGCCCAGCCCTCTGAAGAAGGTCATGTCTATCATTCCTTCCAGTCCCCAGGCTTGTGGCTCTGATTGGATTTGCCAGGATGACGCAGGGGGTCGGCAGAATTTCATTTCAACAGATCATGCACCCCTCTCCCCGCAGAGCAGCGTAGCATCCTCGGGTAGTGAGCAGACGGAAGACCAGGGCTCTAGTCGCAACACGTTCCAGGAGGACGGCAGTGGCATGAAAGGTCAGAGTTCATTTACTAACTGAGCCAATTGCATTCACAACATTTGGTTCGGGTAAAAGGTGTGCTCTGCTAACAGCTGTGGCTATATAAGGCAAGATATGACAACAATTTTTTTTTTGTTCCTATGTGTGTATTTGTTCTAGATGTCCCCGCATGGTTGAAGAGTCTCCGCCTTCATAAATATGCATCACTCTTCTCCCAGATGACCTATGAGGAGATGATGATTCTCACAGAGCATCACCTGGAGTCACAG